CATTACTGTATGATCTCATACTTATAGCCACAATTATATGTTTCATTATATGAAACAAAATTATTTTAGTAAGAATAAAAATTTGATTTCACAAATAAAAGCAACAAGAAAAGTTTAAAATAATTTCTGTGGTTTATGTCAGTGTTACTCTGGCCTGCTGTCTGATGGTGTCTAATGGTTGCCTGTTGGATCATGCTGCTCTTCAGCTATACCTCAAACACAGATGCAGTTTTAAGGTCTTTTGCTAAAGATTTTGACTTAGAAGTTATAAAACGGGTTCATATAAATCATGCACTATTAACTTCTCTTGTTTTCATTGTGTTACAGTATTTCATTGTATGTATGTCCCTGGAGTTCTCACTTTTAGAGATCAAAAATCCCTTTTTCCCTCCTACTTTTCAAATATAGGCCTCTGTTATGGAGTTCTTCACATGCAGATGAACTTTCAGGATTTCATGGAACCATTGTTAGGTAAGCTGCTACGTGGAAATTAAATAAAAGGTTAGACTCATGGTTGAAAAGTTAAAAATAGCAGTAAAAGGTAGAGGCCCCAAATCATTCTTTCTTCTACTTCACATCATCATAAAGTCATACTACTCAGTACAAAATGACATCATCTGACTGATTTACCACATTCAGCACTTTATTTTATTTAGTCAAATTACTATGTGAGTGTAAAATGAAGGTCCAATGTGCTAACATTAGGTAATACAAGGAAAGGCAAGTAATTTTTCTGGTGCCCTGACCAGGGTTTCGAATGCTTTTCAAGAGAAGCTTCTTTAGATGCTGGAAGGTTTTTGTAGTAGATTATAATTTTCCTAATATTTTAATATATGGCCAAATGCCATATTTTTATAAAGTGTACATTATATAAAGTGTACATTTTATAAAGTGTACATTAAAGTTCTAATCAACTTAACTTGAAGATAGATACAGCAGTCTTTAAAAGTGTCTATTTTTATTTATATTTGTGTGTGTATGTGTGTGTAGTTTAAACACTATTAAACTGGAGGACAAAGTAATGAATTATAAATTGATTCTGACAGCAGAGATGCTTGTACAGCCTCTTGATTAGGACAAGAAAATTTTAAAATGTAGAACTTGGAAACATTCTTAAATCATAATGTTAGCACATGCAATCATTCAGATTGTATCTCCAATCTTTTCCTCATACAGCTTGAAATAATTTTAGGAAGGAAATTTGAAAACCTTTGAAAATTATTTAAGAGTTCCACTTTCCATTTAAATTTTCTTTTTTTATCTTCTGCTTCTTTGTGTCAAGAACAGATAGTTATTTTAATTTCAATGTCTGGCAAAGAGAGGTGTATTTTCTCTAACAAAAAGCTAGGCAGATGCACAGAGTGAAATAGTTCAGTATTAATGGTGAATTTGTAACAAGATGGTATAACTACATACCTTCCTTGAAAGGTTTAGGTTGATTATTGATAGACAGTTCTCTATTTTTCCCATAAAATCTGAAGTATAGCTTGTACTCAGTCTAAAGTACTACAATGAGAAGCAGTGATGAGTGTTCTTATGGTTCAGAGAACAGAATAGTGGAATCTTCGTTATCCTCAAGTCTTTGACTTACTATGTTTCCATTTTTTATTGAAAAGAACACATTCCACAGAGCATAATTCTCATACTCAGAATTAACTGCTCTAAAAATACATTTCTTATCTACTTATTTAGGGGAAGGAGAATGTATGATTAAGTATATACTTTTAACACAATTTAAGACTGTGAGCCATAATCCTTCAACTCTACCCTAAACATTTTAGTAGCAGCAAAACATAGTAGCAAGAAGCCTTCTATGGACCTGCCCATTCTCGAGCAGTGAGCAGGGATATGTCTACAGTAGCAGAACTAAAGGATTCAGTACTTCACTGGAAGCCTCAATTAAAAAGAAAATTAGAGTTGTAGGGTCTTTCTGTCAATCCTCTTCCAATAACTTCTGTTCCATTTAATCCGGAGTTATCAAGTACAGGAGCCTCAAGCATGTTCAGTTCCTGCATGTTCCATGAAAAAGCCTATAATGGCTGTGTCAATGGCAGGAACCTGACAGGCACTTTCACAGAGAGACCTAGCTGCCACCAATTCTGCATGATGACTGCCTGGCCAGGAAGCCTGGGCAGGCTGCTCACCAGCAAACCCACCCATAGCTGTGGTCAGCCACAGAATAAAGCCAACCTGGAACAACTGGCAGGCCAAAAAGCAAAGTGAGCAGCACTGAGGGATCTTAATGAGGATGACTTACATGGGTCACGAGGGGAACCACAGCTAGTAAGGCAGGAGGTGTAGGAAGATAAAACACAGAAAAAACAGGAAACAAGACTCCATTCATTGCATTCCTCTTGACACAATCTCATTTAACTTCTGTTTCTATTTTGTTTTTATGACTTACAGTTGATCAACATTGCAACTGCACCAGGCATAGGTGTTTGCTTGTCTCCACATATGTATGTGTACTTACAGACACACACATGTAGAATACATGACGTACAAACCAAGCTGCCTAAGACCTGCTACTTCAAATGCCTCATTCAGTGTAATTAATTGGGACACCAGCTGTCTAGAGGAAGAGACCATCAACAACAGTAGAGAACATATCCTATTCTTCATGAAAATATTTGCATATAGAATGGCTGTGCATGCCCCAGCCATAGGGAACAGGTAGGGACCAGCTGGTTACCTGCAGGCACAAGCAGTGGCTCTCAATGGCCAAGGCCACATTTACGATGGCAAAATCCAGGCAGTGGAGAAGACGCAGATGATCCAAAAACGACTGTGGTAGCAACTGACAGCCTTTTTAAGCTTCTGAACTGTTTTGGTTGAATCCTGCATTACCGCAGTCCCTGACATTTTATTCCTTTGTCTGCAAAGTCACTGTGACACTGTCAAGTGTTGATCCCTTGAAATACGGCGGGTTTTGCACACTCCTTTCTTACAAGAGCAAGGCTGGCTGCTAAAAATAAGGATGCAATAGCCACTTAGGCAGATCAATTTAGCATGCTGAGAAAACTACAGAGCGAGGAGATACTCACTTCATACACACAACCCTCCCAGAAACTGCAGATTAAAAAAAAAAAAGTGTGTTGTATTTAGGAACTGCTTCAAATTGAAATGCTATAATAACCCTCCAAAGAAGCAGACTGAAGATAAATTATGCAACTGTAGCTGATTTAAATCAGATTTTGAGGGAACTAGGGAACTCTCCAGAACAGGTATTTGCTCTGCAGTTCTTCATGTTAATTAAAGCAGAACAGAAGGTCATCATAAAAGCTGCCATATTATAAAAAGCAAAATAATAAAGCCCTAAGAAAAAAAAAAGGTTATTTCTAAACGGAAAATAATGGGAAACAGAGCCTTCTGCCTGTGTTAACTTGTTCATACAAAAATGTTAATCACTATTATTGTATTGACATAAATGGTGATGAGGTGATTTATACCATCTGTGCATCTGGCTGTGTGGAAATATATATATTTGACCAGAACTGATGATACCAGCAGACACATTGAACAAAAGAAATTCCAGTTATAAAGCACAGATCAAGGATGTGCAGACGTCCAAGAAATGTGAGCAAAGGAGCTACTAAGAAGAGTATGTGAATTGAATGGGCCATTAGTAGAAATAAATATATCAGCAAATGTGATACAGCCAGACTAGCTACAGGACAAAACACAGAAATGTGAAAGTGAGTCAAATAGTACAAGTCTGGCAATTGTCACAGTGAGTCTGCTGAAGCAAATCTCAACCTTGATTCACAGAACCTTACATATATTTACATATGCTTAAATTAAAATAAATTCTTACATATGGGCAAACTTAAGCATGAACTGAAATTTAATTTACTTCATTAAAAGTTACAGAAGATAAGATTGAATACATTATGCCTTTTCTAACTAAGGAGTTTCTTTCTAAATTGGGCCCCTCTCTTCTGAGTAAGGGCCTTCCATTAATAAACACTAATTAAAAATTCTACACATATTGTAATCTCAGGAAGAGTGTTGAATTTGAGAATTCTTGTTGATAAGAATTTGACTTGATAATACACGTGTGTGGTAGTTTGGGGGGTGGAGGTTAAAACAGTAAGGAAATGTCAGGAGACATCAACCAGCACTTCCTAATCATGAAATAATATGGCAAATCAGCTATTTTTAGGAAGTGATATAAATCTCAATGGATTATAGAAGCAGAAACCTAGAAAACACACTTTTGTTGATTAGCTCGTGTTTTACCTTTCATTTATAAGGCAAAATGACCCAAAAGTCATAAAGACATCTTTCACTTTTGCCATTTCACCATGGCAAATTATGAAACACAAAGCTTCCTCATTGCACCCATTTAGATCACTAAGTCAGGGACAAAGCCAGAACAGACAGGATCACTTTAAAGCACAAGGCTCAATTTAGTGGTTTGCAGGTCTATTTTAGCTCCCGTACCACAGGGACCAGAAGCCTGCAATCAGTTCACAGAGCTCTGCGTGCTTGATGACAGCAGGTCGCCGGCTCTGCACCGCTCCACCACCGAGAAGCGCCTCAGACGCTTCTTTTAACAGGCACAAGTTACAGACTTCCATCTTAAAAGCGGGAGCTCCACAAATACAGCTGAATAACACACGAGCCTGGCAATTGTGCTGGCTCAGCTGCTGCCTCGCACGCAGCCGAGCTGCCCGTGCTGCGGAGCAGATGTTCCGGAGCAGGTGTCAGCAGGCAGTCACGGGGCAACCACCAAAGCCCTCCCAAAGCAGCCTTTCCACTCGAGAGCTAAAGCCTCAAAGGAGACATGAAATAACCTTGTTGATTTGACGCTTGATAATGCAAACATCTTAAAAATCCCACTCCAAATTGTACGTCGCTCCCTGGCAGGCAGCCAGGAGTTCTCATTCAATTTCAGCATATTAAGGTTTTAATGGGGTTTTTTAAGAGAAGCTTCTGCCGAACATTTGGTGCTACCAGTTTAATGCTTAATCACACTTTCTTAGAAGGAAATCGCGGTGATGTTTAAACGTAGGAATTAACTGCACCTGATACAGCCTTTTTCTCCTTACAGTACCTGTCCTGCGGAGAGCACCCGCAACAACCCCAGCAGGAGGAGAGCCTCTTACAGAGAGGCTGGACGCTCTGCCAGCTCACCCGCCACCCGTCCCAGCCACCGAGACCTCGACACCCATCTCTGCCACCGCCCCACCGGCTCTGGATCCCCTTCCCGGGGGCACTCCGGCTCCGCGCACGCCCGCCGCCGCAGGAACCCCGCCTGTGCGAGAGGAGCGGGGGGCGCGGTGCTCGCGGTCCTGCCGGGCGGCCCCCGCTCTCCCGGCTCAGCCGAGCCGCCCCCCACCCCACGGCCAGCCAGATGCCGGGACTACGACCCCCGCTGGGGCGGGGCGGACGGGCGCGCACCGGGGGCTGCCAGGACCCGCCCGGCCCCGCCTGTGCGCGGGTGCGGAGTTGCGGATGCGGGGAGCGACCCGCACGGCCCCGCGCCCAACGCGAGTGAGCGCCCGGTAGGGGGGCGGGGTGGGGCGGCGGCCAATGGGCTGCGGGGATGTTCCCGGAGGCGCAGCAGCCGCGGCCCCTCCCCCGGCGGCCGCTCCGCTCGGGGCTCGCCGGGCGGGAGAGTTTCGCTCCCGGCTGGAGATGCCGCGCGGGCTCCGCGTCCTCGCAGGTAACGCCGCGCGGGGGAACGGGGGGCTCGCCGGTGCCCGTCCGCCGGCGGGACCGGCACGGGGGGCGAGGGCCGGACGGGACGGGGCACCTCCTCCGGCGGAGCCGTCGCCGCCAGGACAAAAGGGGAGCGGCGAGCGGGGCAGGGCCACCGCCAAACTCCCGGCGGGGCTCGCCTGCCTCCCAGCCTCGACCCTTACCCCGAAGCCGCCGCTGACTTCCCGAGCGGGCTCCGGCTCCGTTCCCGGGACCGCGCGCCGGGTGCCCGGGACGCCCCAAGTTCGCGGCTCCGGGCAGGGGCAGCGCCGCCCGGGTGCGAGCCGCCCCGCGGCCCGGCGCTCCGGGGCGGGCGGCACCGTGCCCGCCGCGCCGCGGCTGGGTGCCCGCGGTGAGCGAGGGTGCTCTCCGGTCGGTCGGGCTCGCCTGTCCCTGGAGAGGGCGGCGGGGAGGCGCCGTCCCGGCGCTCCGGAGGTGGCGGTCCCTCGGGGTGCCCGCTGCCCGGGGAGGGAGCCCCCACGGACCGGCCTCCTGGACCGCGGGGAACCGCGCTGGCTGTAGCTGTGCGCCGGGTAAATGGAGCAAGCGTAATGGGAGAAACTTTGAGGGCGAAATAAATTTGGAGTAGATGAAGTATTTTAATTGCGTGGTGCGTGTTGATGCGGTATCGGTGCTGTTGGGAGCAACGCCGTGCGCTTCCCTCAGTTAGCAGCCACGCTTTCTCTCTTTGTTTCCGTCAAACTACACAAGGGTGAACTGCTCCGAGAAAAGGTTTTGCTCGTAAAGCAGCTGCTTTGCCCAGCCGGGGAGCTCCAGCCTCTCAGGTTGCACAGCTCCAGGCTGCTGACTTTACCTGAATTTGGGAGCCGCGCCATATGGTCTCCAAAGAGAGGAGGGGCACCGGTGTGGCAGGGCGGACTGCCTATCCCTGTGCACGTGTGTGTGAGCAGGAATTGGGAATATGCGGGGACCGGAATGAGGTACTGCAAAAAGCAAGGCAATTGCTGCAGCAGCTCTAATGGTCAGCTCTGCTCTAGAAGCCAGATGCTTGGTTGGAGCTGTTTTCCTAGACCATGCAAAGACCTTAAATGCAATGTTTGCAGGGGTGCACTGGAGCTGTTTTTCTAGATTCTCTATTTTTCTATATGAAGGTATTAAATGTAATATTTTCAGGAGTGCGACAGTTGATTTAATAAGCAAATCAATAATAAGAAACTTAAGATAGGCTACTATATGTGCCTGTCATTCTTTGGGCTTACAAAATAAAAAATCCCTATTCTGCCTAGCTTTTACTGCAGTTTTCCTTTCATAACTTCCTTCGCTTGCCGTTTATACCAGCTCCTGATAATAAGACCACTGATAGCAGCGTCTGAGCACCCGAGAAGCGGAGGCAGAGTAGTAGTCCTGACAGAAGGCTGGCTCTGGAGCATCCAGAGAGACCCATCCGAGTAAAGGTGGCTCATGGGTGTAACTTCCAGCCTCAGTACCTCTACACTGATGTATCACTCAGTGTGTTTGGATTGCAGGGTCTTTTTCATCTGCCTCAACAACCTCATGAGCCCACACAGCAGTGGAACTTCAGCTGCCCTTGAGGTGTGCTGAGTGATCTCATGAACACTAGTCCCATCTCAGTTCTATGGGTCTTGCTGTCTCATTGCTTGAATTGTTGAGATTTTAGGGCCTAGTCCATTAACTGATACCTCCATATGTCTATCTGTGATGTTCGTATGAATTCCTTTCATGGGGAATGTGTAAGACTAGGTCCTTCAATCTGATTAACTGAAGGGAGTTTAGCTCTTTTGGCAATTGACAATGTTTGCTTTTCAAACGTGGTAGGAAATGATAATGTTTATCACTTTCCACAGAGCTTTATAAATGTTTCACAGTCCCTCTGATGCATCTGTTTGTATTGCTTGAAAAGAACAGTAAGAAAACAAGAAAGTGATTTGCTCTAGGTTTTAAAATTTGTCTGTGCCAAAGTTTTACCTTAGCATCTAAGAATTTATCTCTGTGCTCCAACCATGATAAATTCTGCCTTTACTTCCTTATTTGAAGTACAAAATTATGTTTAGGTGTGTCCCAGTAACTATGAGAGGCACTGAGAAAAAAAAAGTAAGGTTATATGAAACTGCCTCTCCCAAGCCGGCTTTCTTTTAAAATTCTTTTTTAGTGAATTAGAGCTGTAACCATGCACTTGTGTGTGTTTCTTCCAGATTTTCAACCAACATAATGCTGAAGCTCCCAACTTGGAACCAGTATTTCACAGAATGGCACAAATGGAACCTAATCTGGACCATGATGTATCATGGTTCCTCCTTCCATCATACTGGGCTAAAATGGTTGTGGCATTAATTTCCTTCCTCTGTTTTGCTAACAGCTATGATGGAGATTTTGTCTTTGATGATTCTGAAGCCATCATCAATAATAAGGTTAGTCTCCTTTTCCTCACACCCTTTGGCATAAATGGTCATACTAAAAGAAATAATGCAACAATTGATCTAAATAGGCCCAAAAAGTTTCAGCCTAGTAAGCTTCCTTTGGGTATTACTTTTTTTTTTTTTAACTTCATTTTTCCATTTTGTTTTATTTGGTGTTTTTTAAAGTTAAGCCTGTTTAAGGGTACCTGCACACCAAGACTGCCAGTAGGTCTAATTTTATGCTCATTCCTAAGTAAGTAAGAGTGTACAGTAAACTTTTCTGATACTCATGGATGTTAATAGCAGATTTTGTTCATTATCTTCACAGAACTTCTCTGGTCACAGAATCAGACCAGTGAATAAGCTTAGTCTGGTTGCAGGTACATAAGGCATCATTAAGGCATCATGTAGGGTGCAGGGAGTTTTCAGGTGCAGTTTATACCATAAAAATGTTACAGGAGCAAGCAGAGCTCCCTTTTCCCTCCTTTTCCCCTTGAAGTTCCTGGAAGAACAGTACTTTTTTTGAGATAGAGGTGGAGTATCCTCGTGTTCCATTTTAAAGCTGACCACACATGCAATGAACAGACCTTGAAATGCTTAGAAATTAACGTGTGATTCAAACACACCTCTAACTGAGATTCTTTTGACTTTGAGCAGTGGAGTGTCTTCAGTTGCTCAGACACTTCTCAGGATCACACGTAGCAGTGAGTGAGCCCATGCCCATGGATGGGTATTGGTGTTACAGCTTTTATGCTGCTCTGGAAGGTACCTGTTAAGCATTTAGAAAGAAAAGCACAGGATAAAAATAATCACATTCATCTGTTGGTTCTGTCTTCCTGAAGCCATGGGTTACAAAGAGGATAATCTGGAGACTCGTACTGCTAGAACACAATTCACTTTTTTTTCTCCTTGCACAAGATATAGAGGCAACTTATCACAGTGTTCCTTTTAGAATCATGCAGAATTACTGTTTCCTTAGACAAACTTCTATTATGTGTGTGTAAGTCATCATATCTTCAGTTATAAATGTATGGGGGGAAAATACATCTGTCAACCTGGAAATAAATCTCAAAGCTTTCAAGAGAATACTGTAGACAAATTAAGAACCTACAGCATTGTTGGTTTGGGTTTTTTTAAAGTAGTATTGTATTTCAGATTACACTCCTGGTAATGTTTCATTCTGCAAAGTTTTATTTGGGACCTGGTTATAATATTTTCATTTCTTGAAAAAATGAACAATAGACTGATGTTGAAACAAAGCAGGTTGTTTTGGTAATGTGCAATTTCCACACTTGTATTCTTTCTCCATTTCTTTCAGTCTTTACGCTAAAAATGTTTCAATTTATCTATGCAACTCAACAATTTGCACCAGGATTCTAGCTGTTGGCAATGCTGAGAAATTCAACCAACTGCTTAAATAAATTAATTCATATGTAGTCTGTATGTTTGAAAAACTGGTAGGCTGTTTCTATTTCTCACATTAAAATCCTCTATTATTCTCTAGAAATTAAATGAGGATTTTATGGCAATATAATTTTAACACAGGGGTCATATAGATATATGAAAATTCGAAATCCACAAGAAAAATGCAGAGACAATGAATTTACCAGTTTAATGGGGAAGGAGATTATCTAGAAATGGCACAGTTTATTGAACAAAGCATAGCATATTTTATTCCTATTTAATAGGAAAGACAGCAGTTGAAGTAATTTTATAGATTTACTGAGCATTGCTACTGTAGTATTTTCTTGGGTATGCCTTTCTGTTAATTTGCTAGCTGCCATCATCCCAATCTTTAATTTCTTTTATTGTTTTTTTTTTAGCAAAAGATACACATTTAGGTGACCCCATCCCCATCCTGTCATGGAGCATTCCATTATTAGATTTTATTGGAGTTAAAGGCTGCTTTCCAGATGCTTTCTTATCATTTTAAGCAGCATTTTAACTGGTACACAGCAGTGGCTTTTGTCTTTATTTATTTACTAGCTTGGCAAGACAAACAGTTGGATTAAGCAGAGCTTCAGACACAGTATGTCATTTCCATAAGCCTTTATACAGAAAAACTGACCTTTCTTCAAATCTTGAACTCTGCTCTCTGTAAGCTGCTGCTAATCAAATATTTAGAGATTATTTGATAGCTACTTTTAGTTTTTAAAGAGAAAATCTTATGTAGCTTTTAAACAGCTGTGTCTCTTGAAGAGACATTTTAGGGTAAGTTCACTAAGTAGGAAAATTGATGTAAGAAACTTTCTCGCAGAACTTGGATACAAGGGCAAGATACATGATTGAAGATTTTTAGGTCATATGGAAGTGTAATCTAATCACTAAGTAATTCCATGCATTCAGCTTTTTCTGCCTTCTTCCGATGCAAGACAAAAGAAGGCTGATTATAGCAGAATGGGAAATCAAGCCTTGTACATTTCCCATCTCACATTATTGAAGGCCATCTGTGACATGGAACACATACTTTTCTTTTCCAGTACTAACATTTATAAAAGTATGTCTTTCATAGACCTTATGTACATAAGGAGCAGTGCTGCTGGTTGAAAAAACAGTCTGAGGGCCACACCACCCTCTGGCAACTGTCCCCTGCAGAGCACAAAGACTTCAGTAGATGTTGGTGTACATCCCTGTCCCAGCTTGCCCCAGAAAAAGCTGGCTGTATCGATTTAGTGAGCTGCTGGTTGAGTGTGTTCCTGCTCTGAGAGTCAAATTATGACCTTTAGGGTTTGTGCATACCGATGAGGAATGGAACAGGAATTTAGATGCCTAAGGCTAAAATTACAGTTCTGGGAGAAGAAAGAAATTTCTAGCTATTACTTGGCAGTAGAAACATCTGTGAGAGCGTGAAGAAATTGTTCACCTTGGTAATTCTTAAGCCCAAGTAGCATCCCCTGTGAGTCTTGATTTCTTAAGAATTTCCCTGAGAGTGCCTTAATTGACAGCTGCAGTCTAGGTTCTTTCAGACTGCAGTTTTAGCCCTGCTCTCTTTTCTGTGCATTGATTAGTATCCTGTTAGAGAATACTTCTGTTCATTTGACTACTAATGGCCAAATTTGATCCAATTATAGAAAGAAATCTCTTCTTGGATTTTTTTTTTATTTATACATTTGTATGGATGAACGTCAGAATATGTTGAGCATATTCTTGTTGAAGAAGCAAGAAAAATTAGTTATTTTAAGTTCAGTTTAGCAGCAGCAGTCATCAGGGTCCAGCAGTTTGGCTGTAATTTGGGAGTACATGCAAGCCAAAAACAAGGCATGGACTGAGGGTGAGATGGAAGGTACTGGAGACCACAGGAGTGCTCAAGACACTATAGAAGCAAGTGAGGTGATAGCAGCATTGGAGAGGAACTGGAATTAATAAAACCAAGGGAATTGCAATGTGGGAATCTTGTAAGCAGATGGAGTTGTGGGAATATAAGAGAGGGGCACCAGGGTTTGTAAGACCTTCCATGGGGCTAGCAAGCCTGTTTGTCTCCTTTGTTGTGTTTGCAGTGTCTTGTTCACCTCCTTTGGTTCATTGGTCTCAAATAATTTCAAGACAGAAGGTGGGGGTAGAGTAACTTGTTGGTTACAGGAGTAGTACTGACTAGTACAGTTTTGTTCTTAGGTTCTCTCTCAAGTGTCTTTAACCTGCATGTACCTTGCTGTAGCATAAATTGGTATTTAATTGCACTAGGGAAGCAGAAGGGCAGGTCTATGTTAGTTTGAACTTCCAAGCTTGTCCTCCTAAAAAACTGACACAGATGCTAGCAAGATCCTTATTTTTTCTCCAAAGTGTATGCTTTCCATTTAATAGCCTACATTATTTGGATTTTTTATTATCAGCATGGCTTTGATATAAAAAGAGAAGAGCAAGCAAGACTTTTTCTTTGCATTGGTATTTTTATAGGCCCCTATTGCACCCCAAATTAAAATAATTCATTACCTTTCTGTCTTTTAATTTTTTAGATTAGTATGTAGAGATGTTGATTCTTGATTTCATGTATTGAGTGTTAAAACAACCTCAACTATTTGAATAATCCTGTGCAAAGCAAGGCTTCAAAAAGAACTAATTGTTGTTCCCTACCTTTAGGCTCCTTGATTTCATGCTTTCATTAGTAGTTATGCTACTGAACTGGTAAAAAATGCCTAAATGGCTATTTTGCAGCAGTATGTAGTTGGCCTTCTTTGCAAGATAACCCACACCTAAACTCAAAGGCTTTTTACAAAACTATGGGGTAAGGAGGTTTATGTGTTCCATATCTCAGCTATTGATCAAATTATAAATTGATGTGAATATAGCTCTAAATTTCATGTAGTTATGCCTACTTAGAGAATCCAGGATCATGACCTTTACAATGACAGGCATTCAAGATTTGACTTTCATTGCAAACTTAGGTACTGTGGGTCAGATGTCAGTAGTGAGCCAACAAAACTCCTGCTATGTCCATCTTAGCATGAGCTTGTATTAGTTAGAGCTTGTTTGTGGTTTAGCTGCTTTGAACAAAGGAAAAATTTTAAGAATCTGGTAATTTGTTTTCTTTTAGGACCTCAGGGCAGAAACCCCACTTGGTGACCTGTGGTATCATGACTTTTGGGGTAGCAAACTCAGCAGCAATACCAGTCATAAGTCATATCGACCGCTAACTGTCCTAACTTTCAGGTGAGACTTGTACTTTTGCTTGAGGTCTGAATATTTTTAATCTGTATTGACTTAATTGAATTTAGGGGGAAGGCAATAAAAAAGGCAAGAACAAACTAGCTGGAGGGTAGTTGGATACCTTTCCAGAATACAATTTTTGACTTCACTACCTTAATCTCAAATGGTGTTTTAATTTTCCAATGTTTTCTTTCCCAAAATATTCATTATTTTGACATTCTGTATTTATATCTACTTTTCAGAGATTTTGCCTTCCATACCTGGTACTAGGGGCAGTGTGATTTAGTATGTCACATCATCAAGGTGTATGTTCCCTTCACTTAGCCATGCTGCCACTTGCATTGCTATTGTAGTTTCTGTTCTCTGCTTTCCTGCTGACCTGTCAAATTGTTTATTTTATAAATAGCATCATGGTACTGTGGCCTTTTTCCATCAGCACACTTATAATCTTCCCACCTCTTCACTCCAATATTCTAACTCAAGTGTCTGAGAATCTAGTAAAATGTCTACCTATATATAACTTGCAGGTTTTGTCAAATAACTAAAGGTTTAAAAGGATTACTTTTGTAGATGCTTAGCTCATGTTTTTTACGCAAAGATTTGAGCAAACAGTAGACCATGTAGAAATCTGGCACAGTAATGCAGAGAATATTTGAGGATTCAATCTTAATTTCTTTATTTTCCCCCTTGTGACTCAATGGTGTCAGTGGGGACTTGATGCTTGTTCTGCCCATTCCAAGCCAAGCTAAGTGCAGAAGTGTTCCCACTCTTAGTCCTTATATTCAAGCAAAAGCTTTGACCCTTTAGGGTAGTGTCAGTGTTTTACGTACCTGTCACTGTGGGTTTCACTGTCTATTGGGCTTTCTTCATGTTTTCATCAAGAAAAAATAAGCAACTGCATAGAACGTGTCAGAGTCCTAAACCTATTAAAGCTTTCAGTGCACTACACAGAACATGCTGGTTTTTTTCTTTTCACTAGGGTATATTCCATCTCTAATAACATTCTGGTTTGTTTAAAGACTGATCTGGGATACAATCATTACTATATCTGAAAATATAGATGAGCCTGTGGAGATGGTCCATAAAATGCTATTTTCAAAGAAAGAAAGGGATGTCCTTAATTTCCCTAAGCTCCAGCCTTTATGTGCATCATATTTATAATAGGTTAAGTTTTTAAATAGGTTTCATTTATGCCAGATGCACATTGACCAAAAGAACTGTGTAAAATCCCCTATTCTAAGTTTCTGTGTATCTTATCTACTGATAAAAGTGCAATGATATTAGCACGTTTCCCCTTTTTCTTCTCAGCCTCCATTTTGCTGCAGAGTTCCTGTCTTGAATAGGAATTGAGAATGTATTTTCGCTTTTACACTTCCTTCTGATTCTACTACTTGTATGAAATGTGTCTTTAACCAGTCTCACAAATCAGTCACCAAGCTGTGCTGACTACTTTCTGGGCAGATAGTGATTGTACCCACATGCTAGGACCTCTTTCACAAAGTATGTCAGTGGAAATCATAGTCCCAGTGCATATTCGTTTCCTCGCTGTGTGGATTTAATTAACATAATTTCGTCAAGTTGGCTGCTCTTAAACCTAGGGGTATCCCTTAGTGGGCTGGGTTATTTATTCCCGGGATACTCCTGTGTTGCAACACTGAAGTTGCGTTGTTGACCAAAAGCCAGTTCTAAGTAACTATGAGAGTGATTTAAAAAATGGTACTAAGGTATGGGTTTGGAGAGGATAGATACTGTATCCATGTGATATTCCCTAGGAATACGTTGCCTAAAGACTGGGATATTGTTTCTATCTTCTTGTGCCTAAATGGTAATGCCTTCTGTACTGAGACATCCGCTTTACTTTTGTGTGCACATGTCTGCTATGGGTTTTTTTAGTGTTTCTATTTGTATTTTTTCTAACCATTGTTGTAATTCCTAGCCTTAATATTTTTGTTTCTATATAGAATTAATTACCTTTTTGCTGGAGGCTTCTACCCAGTTGGTTTCCATGTCATCAACATAATACTGCATTGTACTATCTCAGTGTTGATGGTTGATGTGTTCTCCATATTATTGGGTGGATTGCAATTCAGCAATAAAGGAAGACGGCTAAACCTGGCTCCAAAGTCCTCTCTTCTTGCTGCTTTGCTCTTTGCTGTACATCCAGTGCACACCGAGTGTGTAAGTATTGAATAATTATCTCCAGAGATTTTTATTTTAGAAGTTCTTGACCATCTTGACTAATTAATTCTGGCGTAGCCTTATACTCTACAGATTGCTTTTAGATATTCTTAACACTTCTCTTGGCACATGTCTTAATAGAACAATCAAATATTATGGTTAGTACATCCAAGGCTTGTAATTCCACCGAGCTAGACCTTATTAAGGAACACAAATCATTCAAGTATAATAACTAAAGGAGGATAGCACTATGCTACAGAGTTTCCTTACCTCCTGGATTTCTCTAATTACTTTTCATTCCCATTCGCATTGGTAAAAAAGCAAAGAGTTTTAAAATCAGAGATGAGGCACTCTATGAACTTTGTATGTTACTAGTACAGTACTGCATTCAGTTTTGCATCCATGCTGCAAAGACAACACTGGAAAAATTGGAGAGTGCTCAGAAGAGCCATGAAAGTGATTAAAGGGCTGGAAATCATCCTGTTTGTGAGAGATCAAACTGGGTTTATATTTTTAATGTGAAGGAGAAGATTAAAGAGGTTTTTTTTAATCTCAGTCTGTAATTATGTACATGGGGAACACAAATTTGACAGTGATTGCCTGCACTTTAATATTGCAGGCAGAAGCAAAGATGTAAAGATGCAGAATAGAAGCATGGCACATGTATAGCAATCAATTAAAATATCTGACCAAAACACAAAATCCTAATGTGGGAATTCTGTGAAAAGAAGATGGTGTTCTTAAAAAGCTCTTTTGTGCTTGCAGCTGAGAAAATCTCATGGCCCTATGCTAGTGGGCTTGTTGAATGTCATCACTGATCTCTTATCTCGTGTGATAATGAATAAATCAAATATAAAATTATCACAATAAGGGAAATTTTGGGGGGATTTGTTTGAATTTGGAAGGTGTGAGCTACAGAAAAAGTACTAGCTGTGATTTTGATTTTGTCCTAGCAATGAACAGCAAATCCTACAGTGCACATTCTACATATGTGAATATGATTTTTCACTTATGCACAATATGCCATGGTTTTGGCTTCTTGCATTTGCTCTGCACACGATTGGTAGGGAAAAAGTTATTGAAAGCTGTGCTCTCAGCTGACTGGAGACCTTGCAAGTTTTGAAGACCTAGAGATGGTGCAAAGTTGTTATGCATTAGTAATCTGCCACCTTTTCTGGCAGTGTGGCTAAAACATCTTGACAATCATTCTCTGGTGTTCACTCGCCTGCACAATAACTTCTTTGTGAGAGTGCACTGTGTCAGAAGGGCCCCTCGTATTTGTTCTCCAAAACCAGTTTTAGATGTCAGAGTAAAGTAAAACAAGTCTTCAGTGCTTTTGATGTTCTGACATATAAAGAGAAATCTCACTTGAGTCTCAGCTTTGGAGCAGACCTACTATTGACCCTTTTATCAATATCCATAAATTTATTCTGCATTCCATTTGACTTTAAAAATGTATTTAAATCAGCATGAGAATATTAATAAACCCTTTGTCATGTCAAATAAATTACAAGTGATGTGGTCTCCTTGCATATTTGAAGACTTGCAAATGTTTCAGGCAAACAGTGGAAGAAGAGGAGGGAAAAAGTAGCATGCTTATATATCAGGCCTCTTCTAAAATTCAGGAATGAACAAAAACCTCTAATCATTTACATGGTGAATAATAAATCTTGCTCCAGTGAAGAAGTCATTTATACTGCTACAGTTCTAGGATGAGTGTGTGTCTGGCAGCATCTCTCAGAAAGCATTCCTTATGATTTTAAACCTGTGAGTTTCAAGTATCCGACATCCTGGTTTTGAAATGAGATGACATATTGTGACATAAAATTGTGAAGAATCCGTCTGTTTGCTGCTTTGGGTTTTTGGTTTATACAGTGAAACAAACTGTCATGTAAAACAGATACTGAAAGGTGTAATGCTTTCAGTACCTATGTGAGGAAAACACTATAATTTTTCTACCTACAAGTAAATACTCTTGTGCTATAGTTGTCTGCTCTAAAAAAGGCCTATTCTTTGTAACACTTCAGTGATGAAATGCTAAATGAATCATGGGCACAAGAATATATCTGATACTAATTTAAAACTGGTTTGTTTTTTTTCTTTTGTTTGCTTTATTTCCAGAATCTATATGCCTTATCTTGCATTTTAGGTAACGTTTTGCTGTTGGGGTCATCTGAGGCCATGTGCATTATTAGCCCCTTAATCTCTTTGCTGTAACAAGTGGACATTTATTTTCGAAATTGTGTCAGCTCACCTTAACTTTTATCTCATTAGGAAGAGCGGCTCCCGAAGCAGAATGACACTTCATTATTTTCACCTTTCAAAGCACTCCACAGCTATTGAGTTAATTCTCATAATTCCTTTGTATGATAGAAGAAGGAGCAGCAGAGAAGCTAGGTGCACAGCTGTAGATCAATCAAGAAGTTCTTCTGTACTGAGTTTAGGAGTCCAACAGTTTCTGTTTTCACAGTGCTTAAGTAACGCTGAGGGTGAAAGTGGGAGAGAGTCTCTGCAGTGGAATCAGTCATACTGTCATGCCTCTACACTTCTCTTTCTCTGATGTTATTTGGAAATAGTTGCTCCATCATGTTTCCCTGACACAAAAAATGCCCTTTTCCTTTTTACTTTCCTCTTTCTGTTCCACACACAAAATGGCACAACTGGTATACTATAGGAGAACTGAAGTTTCTGCTTTTATCCCTGAAATATGATCACAAAAAAGTAATTTAAAAAAAAAAAAAACATGTAGCTGTTCTGCCCTGCTTCTGTACATCTCCCAAAAACATGGAACTCAGCACTCCAGGCAGCAGAGCTAGACTGAAAAATAGGGGGTATTTCCATGATCCTTGCTGTGCGTGTATGTTCTAGTGAGGTTCCTACATCAGGCTTATACAGTCCCCTACCAGCTCCATGTCATGATTTTCACAAAAAAATTGTGGTGTTATCCTGACACTTGTGTAATTGAGAATTGAAGACCCAAAAGTGTCTTGCTCTGTCTCAGCCAGTTATTGTAAATACAGTTTAGGGGCTTGAAGCAAAGCTTACAGATAGCCCTGAGATTGCACTTGATTTAAATGGGTTGGCACAGATCTCGAGTACAGAGGTCCCAGGATGTGCTTCTCATTTTCTTTTGCATTAGTACAACTTCTGTTTCAAGATGCAGTTGCAGGTAGCTCTAATGCCATCAGTTAATACAACACAAAAGACTGCCAGAGGGGGAATCTTTTTTTCTTTTTTTTTTTCCCTGAATCTGCAGGCTGGAAGGTATTTGTCCATTCTGAGTGCTCAAATTGAAATTTGAAGGCTGGCTTGTCTTCTGAAAGTGAACAGTTTTGATTTGTGTTTCAGCAGAGCTGCCAATTTAATTGTGGTTCAGGATGTTTGGCTTCCAAGCCATGTAATAGCTTCAAATGGAAAGAGAGTCGATTTAGATTAGATATTAGGAGGAAATTCTTCAGTGTGAGGGTGGTGAGGCAGTGGCACAGTTTGCCCAGAGAAGCTTTAGATGCTCCATCCCTGGAAGTGTTCATGGCCAGGTTGGGTGGAGCTCTGAGAAACCTGGCCTAGTGAAAGGCAGAGGGGTTGGAAGGAGATGATATTTAAAGTTGCTTCCAACCCAAACTGGTTTATATTTTGATGTTTTCTAAGTTTTCTAAGAAATGCAATTTGATCCAAAAAACAGATGGAATTGTGTAGAGTCTAAATTTTATGCAGTGAAATCCTCCTTCATTTCTTAAAAAAAATTCCATAAACTACAGTTTTCATAAACCAAAGCCAAATTATTTATGTAGTTGATACTAAGCAATACCAAATAAAAATAGGATGCATCTATAAAAAGCTGGATATAACTAATCCACCACACCCAGTTAAAGAAAAAAAGTGATACAGTTATATTCTATTATATATTTAATTTTGTATGCGTTCCTTTACTTCAGGTTTTCTAAGAATAAAAATCTGATCATTTGAAACTACTTTTCTTTTTTTCAAAGGTTGCTGGGATTGTTGGCAGAGCAGACCTACTGTGTGCCCTGTTCTTCTTGTTGTCATTCCTTGGCTACTGTAAAGCATTTAAAGAAAGTAAGCATTCTGTTTGCCCCTTTAATTTCCTATTGTGTATATTTTCAGTATTTGTACGTTTCAGTGAAGTATAGCAAAATTTAAAATGTCAGATTGATTTGTTTACCCTCACAAAATATATTTTTTTTAAACCTGCTTTAACAGCTACTTATTGTTAGAAGTTTTAAAAAGGTTGCTTTCCCTAATTCTTGTTAAACACTGAATTTAATTTAAGCAAAGTCTACTTCATGATAGGCTTATTTGCTAAATGTTTTATTGTTTAGAAGTTTAATGAAGTATTTTAATAAGTATTTTAGAAATAAATCAAACTTACAAATGTACATGCTTAAATATTTTACTACTCTTTATGCCATTATGTTGGGATGTCTTAAATGGGAGTCAGCTTTTTGGAACGTTATTTGTATTTTTAATGAATTGCAAAGAATTATTCCTATGACTAAGCCTTCTGGATTCCTGCAATATGCAACTGCTGGCATATAATGCTGAATATAGTGTTACTCACAGTTTTTGTAAGACAGCTGTGTTTAACAGGAACAATTCCTTGGTCGATGTTTTTTCAAGTGAGCTTTCAGATCTCTGGTATTGTTTGATCTGAATGCAGGTTGGCAGTTCAAATACAGTCGTGGAGAAATATCTTGGGGCTCTGTTAAACAAGCACACAGGAAAGCACGAGTTCATGACTGCGGAAAGCTTTGCAGGACATGCAGTCTGGTACCTGAATGTCTCTACCACGCAAAATACAGGACTCATTGGTGAAGCCACAAGGAGCTGTGTTGGGAAGGGCTTGTCTGTTGTTCCACAGGCATGGTCTGTAATGATTAACCAGAGCTGGCAGGGTATTTCAGAGGTACCTGAGCTGACTTTGTGATCTGGCTTAACAGCATAGTTGTGGCATCACAGAGACCTCTGTGTGGGCTGAGGGGGTGAGTTAGTCCACAGTGAGCTGTGAGATGCCATGAACAGCTCCTGCTGGTTCAGTTTGGATTGTTTGGAACTACTGTACATATTTCTATTGCTGATAGAATAAGTTTATCTTGCCATTTCAAATGTTACTTAGGATGGTTCCTGTTTACTTTAGATATATTTTTCTTCCTTTTGAGTAGGTTTAATTTCTTTCAACTGAGCTAATGATTTCTTGATGAAAATTGGCCTTGGGTTCTTGCTTGTTTGTTTATTCTTTTCTCACCTATTTTATTGGATGTGATTGTGCTTATGATGTTTCTTCTATTAGTGGCAGAGTAAGATAGACCAATCAAAAATGCCTTATCTGTTTTCCAGTGTCTCTCGTAGACAGGTAGGGTTATACTGCAGGGGCAATAATCTTTGCTTGAAGGACTCAAGAGCCAAATTCTTAGGATGACCACTGTCATCATTAGGACCTTCTAATTATTTTGCTATAGAGGACATCTTGAGAATGATTAAGGATGTGTATTCTGGTTAAGGATATTCTTCAACTTGTGAGGGTAAAGCTTAATAGCTTTTAGAAATCAGTGTTAATGTAATAATATTCTTGGACTGAAATTTGTGTCATTGATACAGAAGAAGGAAAATGTTGCAAAGACAAGATACTAACCAGCCCTTGCTGATTTTTATTGGGCATTACATAATAAAAGGGGAGCAGATGTCTTTTAAGCAATTTTGCCAAGGAAAATTACAGTCTGCCAGCATTGTCTTTCAGGTCAGTTTCCAATGTTTACTGTCACCTTCACTGCCTGCTTTTCCCTCAGCGACTTCTTGAAGAAGTTTAGACTTCCTCTGTACACGAGAATTTGTATCCAAGATACGTACTTGAATCTTTCACCTTGATTGCTGCAAAGGCACACTACTGACTCATCAGCCAGGAGCTTATCACCCAGGCACTCCAGACCTTTTTCTGCAGAGCTGCTGCCCCGGCCTTAATCATTGCATGGTGTTGTGTTTGATTTTTCGCGAGGCCACTCCCTCCAGCTTGTCACAGTCCCTCCAAACAATCCTCTCCACCATTGTATCCATCTAGCTGAATTCCACCAAAGACCACAAGCAGTTTTTCTTGCTGCCCTTATTATTTTTTTTTCCTTTGTGGATGGGGGAGGTTTGTCCAGGCTGCAGCTGTTTGAATGTGAGTGCTTATGTAGGAAAGGGCCGTGTCTGTGTTGGAAAGTGCAGCCACAAAGAGAAGGGAGGCTCTCTTCACAAGGAGCTACACGATGAAGACAAGGGGCAGTCAATGCAGTTGCACTGGGAAAGGTTTCACTCTGATGTAAGGAAGAATTTTTTTACAGCAGGAACAATCAATCACTGCAACAGTCTCCCCAGAGATGTGGTAGATTCCCTATGACTGGAGATTTTCAAGATGCATTTGGACAGGGTTTTAGGTGATCTTGTCTAGGCTCCCTTTCCTGCAAAAATTGGACCTGGTGATCTCTGGAGGCCCCTTCCAAACTGAGCTGTTCCTGTGATTCTTTGTATGAAAGGTTTTAGGAAAAGGTAACCAAATATGGGGAAGTGACTGTGGTAGAATATGGCTCTTCAGTGGGTTTGCAAAGTAAATAAAAAGTTTTACCCTTGGTATGAATTTCCATTTTTTGTGACCAGTTCTTCTAGGTACTCTCAAATGATAGGTTAAATAAGGAGTAAAGAACTTTTATCTGACTTCAGCTGAGTTTGATTCTGCATAGATTGAGGGAGTGAATCCCAAATGGAAGCTAGTCTCACTGTGAATATAAGAACATGCATTTTAAAAATATGCACATATAATTTAAAAAGCAGACTTAGACAATGTCTCCTAAGCAGCAAAGAAAAAGTACTTTTCCTTCTTTTAGAATGTTGTCTTCTGATGTCAAACCCTCAAGATCAGGAATGTCTGGGATGTTCCCAATGCATGTTGCTAGTTCTAGAGCAAGTTAAGAGCTGTTATTGCATAATTTTCTAGGTTAAGGCTAAGAAGGTAATTTATCTTTGTGAAATAGTGTTTGTTTGTGAGAAAAAGAGGGGAAAAAACAACCAAAAATCCCTCAGGGGTTTTTAGTAAAACAACCAAAAAACCCCTCAGGTATCAGGTTTATGTTCCTAATGAAATAGAGGTGCTTTGTGGTGATCCTACACAAAAGTGGATTGTACCAACATCCTTTTTCCTTTTGTTCTGCTGGGCTTTTTGTATATTAAAGGCAAGCATGGCCCTAAACTGTAGGTCAACTGCGTGTGTCTTTGTTCCTGGATTTGGCTGTCACATTTATATAGAGCTTAGCTCACCAAATTTTTACAAAAAGTGGGAGAAGAATTATCAAAGGTTGATTTTTTTTTTTTAATTGTTACAAATAGACACATTGTAGTGTGACTCTTTTGGACCACTTTAAAGAGGGTAGAACTCTTAAGACCATCAAGATTTGTAGCCTGCATTTGTATTGTCTTTTGAATATGCTTACCAAAACATGTTTGATGCCAGGTTGTTTTTGTTTTGTGAACATTAAGTGAGCATCTAAGTAAAACAAACACTGACAAGCCTGATGTGATGCTACTGATACGGCTGGGTCAGTAACATATCTTGTTTGGCTACCAGCAGCATCCCAATGCTATTAGCAGAAAGGTTATCCAAGCTTTTAATAAAGAACCTGGCTATTCTTTCAGCAAGGCAATGTGAAATTTGTGTATGACTGAATTGAAAAAATCTGTATGTGTTTCAATAGTTTAGACACAGTTAATGAATTGTCATTCTTTAAAGAAAAGGGGTCAAAAATCATATGTGGGAGACTGGTTGGTGCTTCTTTTCACTTGAGAAAATGAATATAAAGATTTATAAATTTTTTTTGCGTGGGAGTAGGAGCTCGTGAAATGTCTGAGGAGGATTTGGAAGTACTATGGGGAAAGTATATGTAATAGTGAAAACAGTCAGGAGATCAGAAAAATATCAGTGTCAGGCTGGAAAACTTCCAAAGGGAAATAATGGTTTTTGTAAAGCTCAAGATATACTGCAGCTTGTTTACCTGATTTATTTGTGGTTTCAGTGGATTTTTGGGTAGACAGTTTATTTTAGCCAGAATCTGAAGCTTTCTTTTTTCTTTCTTTTTTTTTTAAGTATAGGCATTTAATTATGTGGGCTATAATTATGTCTTACTGAAGTTCTACAATTCTGTTACTTTTTCCCAGTATACCGTTTTTGAAGTTAGCATCTTTGAAAGGATAACATTTATAATTGCAAGGAACTAATCTGTTGTTCTCATTCTGTCCTGCTGTTTTAAACACAACTGTGGGGACAAATCCACTGCATAGGCTTTGGAGACAGCAAGAGCTGACAACTGTTTAGGTATGTTCTGAAGGGAATTGTGGGTTATTAACTTTGTTGAATTTTAATGCAGCTTCTCTGGGAATTCATAAGGCAATTTAAAACTGCTGTAGTGTTCATTTTTTGCCTTCCTTTGTCTTCGGTTTTGACAGCGATCCAGTTGCATGTATTTGCCATCTGCATTGGCAGTCTCTGAATGAGGCAAAATGAGGAGTTCATGACTTGGTCCATGTGAATAATAGTGGTGCAGATATTAAATATGGGATCAGCTCTTTGCTCATATGCTGTGACATCTAAAAATTGGCTGTGTGTTTCTGTTTTGTTTTGTTCTGTGTAGATGTCAATCAATCATCTACTAGTTCATTGCTAATTTAATAAAGCATGCAAAGTAGCGATGAGTTTTGTGAATATTGGAGGTTTATATTATGGAAATTTTCCTACAGATTGGAAACAAATATTTAAGTCTCCTGTATGAAAAAGATCATTACTAAGATATGGGGAATTTGTTAGCTATTGTGCAATTGGTCAAGAGGTATTTACTATTGTTAAACATGTGAGCCCTGATTTTTTTAACTATGTGCCCTAGCAATTTGAACACATTGGGAGGGAATAGTTGTAAGTGGAAAACCTAACAATTTTATGATTTTAGTTGGCTGAGGAAACACAATGACCTTTTTTTCTGGTAGAATTAATGCTAGCTTTCACTTCTCCAAGATGTAATTCAGGGGATAGATACTTC